ATATATATATATATATATATATATATATATATATATATATATATATATACATATATATATATATATATATATATATATATATATATATATATATATATATATATATATATATATATATATATATATATATATATATATATATATATATATATATATATATATATATATATATATATATATATATATATATATATATATATGAGAATGCAAACTTAAATGTGAAGGACAATTTTTTATGCTAACAAAATTCTAATTGAATAACAATGTACCATAGTGATGCAGGTCAACAAACAGTTCAATTTCAAATTGCATATAGTTAAATTATTTATTTACTGTATAATTTATTTACCAATAAAATTTTTGTTCCAAAATAATTCGTTCGTTTTTTTAAATTCTGAACCGATTTTAATTGAGGTGTTTTGTCATTTTGGCAGATACGTCTTCTATTGATGTTTATAAGGAAATAATTTATGTTATATGTCATAACCCAAACCCACAACATCACAATTCCAAATGAAAAACACCCGGTCTAGTATAAGCCAAGTTGAAAATACTTCGTTACGCAAACTTTGCCACGCATAGCAAGTTTTTTCAAAAGTATAACTTCATTTATTTCCTATTGCGAAATTAGTAAATTAGTACTAAGTTGAAAAGCTCTTATTTAATTTTTTTTCTTTGAAATAACAAAGATTTTTAAAGGAACTTAAATCTAGTAAATAAGATTACTACCTATTTTCATTGTTATAATTGTTAATAAATGAATCTGAAAAATGAATTTAATCCAAAGAAAACTTTTTAATGTAAAATTAGTATCACCTCATGTTTTGTATCATCAATTATATGTTTAAACTATAGAAAAAATAAATCTTCATACATTCATGTAAATACATAGGCAAAATGATAAGAAGCCTTTTTCGTGCTAACAACACGCACACAGATCTGCTTGGTGTGATGCATAAATCTTTTTCTGCCCCGAAATAATTGAAAAGTAACTTCAGACCTTGCCACAAACTTGCCTACACAAATCAACACACGATCGCGATGCTCAAATCAACTGTGAAATGATTTAAGTGCAAATAGTTTTTTGTTCATGTGGTCTGAGTTATTTCAGTTTTAAAATTAATATCAGTATATCTGTGTATCTCTATATTGATATATCTTGTTGGGGTTTATCCACTTTGGAACAAACTTCGTTTGATATCCATCCTTTCAAATGTTTCTATTGTTTCCGAAAATTGTACACCTAGCTCAAGTGAATATTTTTTTAGATGTATCCAACAGTCGATTATTGTTTAATCTTATAAACGCAGTTTTTGCATAAGAAAGTGAATGATTGATTCAAAAATTGGCATACTGAAACGCAATAGATGTCAAGATACTTTGAATAAGACTTAGTAATGCAATATTTAATCGCTTGGATCTGACTTATAAGAAATGTAAAAAACAAAACAATCAATCACATTGTGCTGGTCGCAAATATACAATTCTAATGAAGGATAACAGTAAAATTTACGTTTTTTCCGTGTTCTTAAAGAAATCATCTTTCGTTAAGCCTTAATTTAGAAAAATTTAATTTTGAAAACTTGTTGCGCATAGCAAAAAGGCACTGCTAGGCCAAAGCTATATAATCGTACAACATGGCAGTGATAGTTCGCAACAGCTTCAGTAAGCCAAACCATCCTATAAATTATTTTTATTTTACTATCTTTGAATGTTTCGTCACATAAAATCATTTCGAAGCAGAATGTTTTGGGAATATTTCATGAATTCACGAATCATGAATTAGGAAAAGATCACGGAGGCAAACAGACAAATCAATCATTGTTTATCAATCATTGTTTCAAACTGCAAATGTCAAAGAGTAGTTTTTGTTATGTATGGCAATAATCTATAAATGTATCGATCAATCTTCTGATAAAACAAGTTTTTAAAAAATAGATCGTATTATGAGGACAAAATTCTATCAAACATGAATAAGAGAAGCAGATTTTTAAGTGAAGATATGCGAGTCGTCATTTTAATTACCATATTTTTCATAATTTTCAGAATCGGGATTATCATAATTGCAACCATAATCATCATAAACATCACAATCATCATCAACAACATCACAATCATCATCAACAATATCACAATCATCATCAACAACATCACAATCATCATCAACAACATCACAGTCAGTATCAACACTTCATTACCAACGAAATGAAATCATGAGAAACTTAACCATCGTCAAAAATATCATCAATGGTCGTGATCTAATCAGAAGACATTCAAAATCACCGTTATAATTACTACCATTAGAACCTCCTAATAATCATGGCTTTAGTAATAGACCATCATCGTTTTAGTCACCAACAACATCATCTTCTTCTTCATCATCATCATCATCATCTTTATCATCATTTTATATGTCTCAAGGTATCTATATTTAGATTTTCAGATCAATAAATCTCAGAAAACATTTTTTTCATTGTTTGCCAGATTTTAGAAATAGTACAACATTGAAACGGCTCAAACATCTGTGTGCTATAAAGAGGCTATCATGATATCTATCTATTCATTCATCTCTTTATCAATAAATCTATCAATTTATCTATATATTGATCTATCTATTTTTTATAACTATTTGCTATTCAATTATTTTTCTTCTTTTCAATCGATGTATATGTATAGTATCTATACATATATTATCTATCTATATAGTATCTATATAGCCAATCAATCTATCCATTTTTTAGCTATCAATACGTCTATTTCGATGTAAGGTTGTTCCAATATATCCATCGAATAGTTCATTTATCGAATTTGTATCCATCCACATAAAACACACGCACACCTACACTACAAACGCACACATGGCGCACACTTACACCTACAAACACATATACCCACTACGGCACGCACATTCCACACATACACACACTTTTTTCATTTTTCTGTTTCTCTCTTTCACTCACTCCCTCTCTCTCTCTCTCTTTCTCCCTCTCTCTAGCACTTTCTAGTATTTTTAATTAAATGACCACATGCATATAACACCTGACTGACCACCGCAGAATG